TCGGTGCCCCGTCTTGGGGCTGCGGGGGCGGGGGGGGGAGCCACACTGTCCAGCTACACAAACAAATGGTGCTGGTTTGTTGAAGGAGCTGCAAATAGTTTGCAGCTGATCTAGTCTGCTCTCAGAGCTGACCCTGCTCTGAGCAGGAGTGTGGATGTAGATGACCTCCAGCAGCCCCTTCCGGATTGAGTTCCTCTGTATGGAGCCATGCCTGTATATTGCATGTTTGTGTGTTACAGTGACAAAAATAACGTGAAGAATCTCTGAGACATTTTTCCACAGTTTCTAAAGATGCTATAATTTTTTTCTGATTTGTTGTAAACTTTCTTAACTTAATCTCACTGTGTGGTTTTGTTTTTTGTTTTTTGTTTTTTTTTTTTTACTTCCTTAGTCAAAATATTATGGCCATATGTTATTGACAGAGGTTTACAAGCATCTGAATTTGATTGAATCGGACTACTTTGGGATTGAGTTCCAGAACATCCAGTCATATTGGGTATGTATAGTTCCCTGACAAATTCGGTATAATAAACAGTTTGGGTGAATGCAGTTGCCTGGGTGTCAAAAGTTTCAAAATCTGCTGGAGTCTCGTGTAGGATAATCTCTTTGATTATTGTACATCTGCTTTGCTAACCAGAACAATGACAACTAATAAAGCAGAGAGGAGGAATCAGGTTCTACTTCTTGTTAAATCTCAAAAAATGTATAAAGCAGTTAGTTACTGTTGTTCCCGCTTTCAGGGGCATAAATAAAATCCTTCCTCCCTCTGAAGGGGGAGCATCAACTTAAAGTGTAGTCTGTGGAGCACTGACAAAATCATAATACAATGAGTAATTTTGATAATGCTCATATTTATCTTCAGTTAATTCAGTCTTCAGTTAATTTCCCAGAAGAGTCATTATGAACCTCTATGAATAAGTATAAACCTACCTCAGCAGACTTACAGACCTGCAAGCTTTTTAAATCATTGATCTAGATAAATGCTGACACTCTCAGCCTCCTTGTTGCTTACCCTGTACCTTGCAAAGAGGACAGTGTGGCTTCTAAACTAGAAAATGTTCCCGAAACTGTGTGTTCATTTTTTTTTTCCTATTACTTTTTCTAGTTTTAGGACTCACACAGAAAGTATGGCTGAGAACATAGCACTAATACATGCTGCTCTTGAGCCAAGGAAATACGCGAAATCTTGTTTAGTTTCCGTTTCTTCTGCAAAGCATCCAAAGTGTTTCTGCATCTAATAAGGTTCTTAAAATCCTCAGCTCTCTCTCAGACACAGAAGTAACTATTAAGGACCAAACGTAATTGTCTTGTTACAATTCTTTGTTTGGAGGAGTAAAAAAAAAAAAACAAAACCAAAAAACCCAAAACCCCAAAAATCCCACCCCAAAACATTGAGCGTCTGGAGTACTTTGCATTAGTTTTATGGATACTCTTTTTACTAGAACAACAATAGTCTTTGAAACATGTGCTTGTCAAAGGAGAAAAGTTTGTGGGAAGTTATTACTGAGTAAAAATCCTCAAGTTGATAGGTAAGAGAGATGGACAAAGCATGGAAGGGAAAAAAGTTGGACTGTGTCGTGTTCTCCAGACCTCCTGTAGTTCTGTAGCCTGGCTCCTGTCTACAGTCATGTTTTCACATGATTTCTGTCTTCTCAGCAGTGGTGGTGTGCTTTTGCTGATTTAACTGCTGATTCTGTCCAGATGAGCTTTAAACATGGATCAGTGTTTGTTCTATTGATACATGATAAATGTCAATTCAAATAAATAAGTATTTTTTTTAATTTTTTTTTTAAACAAAGGAATTGCTGCCTTACTGCAGTGAGGAAGAAATGCATACTTATAAAATATTACTTTATTTGAATTTACTTTGAAGTTTTCATATTGTATTCAAACATGAACATCAGTTTGTAATTTTTTTTCCCCTTTAATTTCAGATTTGGCTGGAACCTATGAAACCTGTTATTAAACAAGTACGGAGTAAGTACTTTTAAAAAAGGAAGTTTTCCTTAATTTGCATCTTCTTTATGTGGGTTGCTTTCACAATTACTACTTGATTTACTGGTTATGCTTCCCTGAAAATGGTACTTGGTAGAGGTGATAGTGGTTCCTGTTGGGGCATGCAAACCTGATGCTTTTCGTATGTAATATGTGGTGGGTGGAATGGAAACTTACTGAAGGTATGATTCTTGCTCTGTGAGAAATATCTAGATAGGTTGGGTCTGCTGGTGTTATGTGAAACGTGACATTTGCTCTTTGTGAGTTTTTGTAAGTTGTGTTGTAGAAAGAAAAAGGAGTATTCTGGGTTATTGCACCCATTGCATGGGAGGAGGTAGCATCTGCAGTCATGAGATCCTCTCTGAGAGCTGATACACCTTTCGGAAGGGCTGCAAAAAGCTGCAGATGGAGCTTGCTGATGTGCAGGGATGGGGGTATTCCCATCTCATTCTCAAAAACTCTCTCCAGTGTGCTCAGGGGCACCTTCACTGAGCGAGCAGAGGTAGGGATCTCCCACCTGGTGGGTGGCCGCAGCTTCGGAATCCTCTTCACCTGTGAAATTTGTTTCTGTTCTTTGGCCAGGAGGATATTACAATAGCGATGCTATCTTTGCTTTATGCTACTCTAAAAAGTACTATGAGATGCATTCTAAAGGCTAAAAATAATTGAAGAACACAGCATGCAAGTTCTTCTGATGTTGAAAGAGTAGATCGGACTTTTTTTTTCCTCTTAGACTGGGGTTAAGCTGTTTGCTTATTTTCTGTTTCTGATCGCAAAGCCTTGGTGGAAGAACAAGATCAGGAGGGTGTGGTGGATTCCTACTCCTTTCAAAATCTTAATTGGAAAATGTTGAAAATTAGTGCTGGGAGGTAGTTTTTAGTTGGTCTTCTGCCTAAAACTGATTGCCAGAAAAAAAATAAGTCACCAATTCTGTCTAATTTTTTTAACTTTAAGGTCATGGTTTTAACTTTTTCCAACGTTGTGTTTTAAGGAGAAGAGTCAAATCAGCTGTAAAAGGCCTCCTTAGGAAGGTATAATAATACTTTCACTGTCTATTTAAAAAAAATAAAAATAAAACAATTGTTGGAGTGCCATTGTTTTATATACCCCATGCAGTTAGGCTTGTTTTGTTTTTGCAGTGCTCCTGGCTGGAAGGAATTATGTCTTAGTCAAAAGATTTGGTGAACCACAGGTCTGCGATGCCACTTGGTTACTCCTCCTGTATCCTCTTCTGTACCAGATAAATTGGGGAAACTTGGCCTTAGACTGTAGGCTGATGGCTATGTGTTCCCTGATGATGCATATATTGTTCTAAGATGGTTTAAATCCATAGGGATGCGCTAAAATTTATGGCTACTCTGCAGCTTGGTGGTCTACCACCCACATTATGTTGCCAGTGACGATGAAAGATTTCTTTAAGAGAAAAAAAAAATTTTTCATCTGTAGGAGACACCAGTCGGTTGTCTGGCACATGTTCAAGTTTTTAAATTTGTAAAGTTTCAATAGCTCAGGTGAGAGCTCTTTTTTTTTTTATGCTAGTTGAATGCCTTCCTAGCATTTTGCTATTTTTAGAATTGAAATGAGATATGACTGTAGAAAGCCTTGAAAATGTTTACAATTAAAATGTTAATTGTGCGTGTAGTAACTTAAGCTGTTCTTTCACTGAATCAGGTAGCTGACATATGATTGCACAGGAGCATCTTCCTGAGAACTCCTTTGACAGTACTGCTGAATACAAAGCCTTAAGAGAGGAATTAATTTAACTGCTTGATAACGTGGATATTTCAGAAGTAAGGGACTAAGCAAGCTGCAATAATGGAGAGACGTTTACACCTTACAATACAGCTATGAAAGGCTGGCACACCTTGGCACATCTATCCTGGCTTCAGCCGGGGCTGCCCTTCCCGGTGCCTGGGCTCCCTGGGGGTGGCGGGTGGCAGATGCGGGTGGGCTGGCCTGGCAGCGATGCACACAGGCAGGGTGCTTCCTTCTGCTGGCCCTGCTCTGCCTGTGTTCCCCAGGGGAAGGCGAAATTCTGTAAGAATGAGATTTGGTGAGTTTGCTCGTGCTATGAAGAAATGCCTGAAGTTGGCATGGATGGATGATCCTTTCCTATATTCTCACTTTAAAAAGTTTTTGTTGAGGTTGTTCGTTTTTTTTTTTTTGGTTGGTTTTTCAGGGTTGAGTTGTTTGGTTTGGAATTTAATGATTTTGGAGTTAACCTTGTACCTTTTAGTCCAGCAGCAGGGTAAGGTTAGATGTTATCATAGGCTTTAAGTTACTACGACTCAAAGCCGTTAGTTTGTTGATGGCGATTGCTGTGTAATTGTAGGCATGCAGTTCTGAGTCTTTGACATGTTCTCTAAAACCAAAAGATCTAGATTGTTGACATTTACTTCATATTAGTCTTTGCTAATATGGAATATAGAGAGTATCTATAGAACAGATATATAGAATTTTGTGTTGTATGATAAAGATTTTTTTTGATTAATTTCAAATGAATGCAGTCAGTTTTACTACAGAACCACTCTAGAAGGCAAGGAGTTTCAATCCAAATTTTCAACTTCCTAACAGTCACGCAGTATCAGGTTGGCAATTGGGTACCTTCTCTGAGGTCTTGCCACTTTTATATAGTGTTGTGTTCACCATATCGCTTGGGTAATTTTTCCTGTTCTTGTTCTTGCTCAGATTTGGCTTCTTACAATAAATTCTTTATCTTGGTTAAGACTGGCCCAGTGTTTCTTTTCCTAATTAAAATGGGAGTTATTCATAGAGGAAAGGCAAGATTAAAAAAACAAAAAGAGGAGGAGTTGTGCTACAGAAGCAAATACGTGGCATTATGTTTTTACTTTTTAATATCTATTGTCATTTAATGTATGTGATGCTCAGAACACTGCCAAAATTGCTCCCACAGCAATACTTTCCTGTTGATTGGTGTCAGCAAAGTGCAAGTACCTTCTTAACCTTGTGAAGGCCTTCCAAGGGCTTGGAGTATTTTCAGAAATTTCATGTAAAGATTTCCCCCCCCTCCTTGGTGTGTCTCAAGAACTATAAAATGTATGATTTTAGTCTCTGCCAAATGTGAGCTTTGTGTATTGTTAGAGGGCATTATTTCCAGCCCCCTTTCGTTTCTAGATATAACACTGTAATTAGGATGAAGATTTTAGGTTTTTTGGTTCACCAAAGCATTGGTAATTCTGGGATTGGAGGCTGGGAGCTGCTCTTCTGACAGCTCTGGTAGTCTGAGAGTTAGTTCTCCCAGCTACTTGGCTGAAAGCAAAGTTTCTTATTCCCTCATTAGCAAATGAGAGGATGAGTGAGCGGAGGAACGTTTGGCGTGTGGGAATCGGATATTCCAGACAGAAGAAATCAGTGTTCTTTGGAGTTGATGGGGTTAAATTGGACTTTGTCAAGCTTTAAGAGCTCTTGGTGCTTAAAATAAATTAAAGCAGGCTGGGTTGTGCTTACCAAAATGCTCATACAAATTTGATATTTATTTTTTTTTAAAATTTGTCTAAGCTTACTTTGAAACAGCAGCAGCATGCAGAGTCCCGTGGATGGGGCTGGAAGGCATCTCTGGAGGTCACCCGTAAGCAGGGCTGGCTTTGAGGTTCAGCTGGGTTGTGGAATACGTGGAGAAGAGTCTAGAAATCAGAGGGTTGCAGGTTTGTCCTTCCCAGGTCTTCCCCTGCCTTTTGGCAGAGTCTGGTTTTTCGCAGTTTGTCTTGCCTTTCTGCGGCTCCGCACGCTCAAGGCGGGCTGTCCTTGCTCCTTGTGAGAAGGTGCATGCTGGGAACAGGTCTCGGTCTGTCGGGAGCGTGGGTAGGGGGAGTGATGCTCCTCTTGTCCGGGGGATGCCTGCAAATGCGAGATGGATGCTCCGTAGGCTTCTGCAAGCAGAGGTTGGCTAGCACCCTGCCTGCCTGCGGTATACTCAGCCTTTTCTGGTTTTAGACAGGAAAAACAGCAGCGGAACAGTGGTGCCCAGTTGTGGCACAGTAAGCAATTGTGGTACCCTGTAATATTTCTCTGAAAATACTGAGGACACAGGGGACATCGAGTC